GGGCACCATCAGCTTTCTTCACCACATTTGCTTATTCACCCGCTTTGTCTTCAGCAGTATTAAGGTAGCAGAAGGACATTGGGCCTTCACTCAAGTACCCACTCAAAGCAAGAATACTTTCTTCTATTAAATTGGCATTCTATGACATTCTTGGTATTTTTATGTTTGTATTACTATTGTTTTATCCTGACCACCTCATTTCATTTCTGTTCTTTATTGTTTCTGTTTGGTTTACCAGTTTGCGAAGCACAGAAAGACAGTATGCATAGAGATAATAACTGGTACAAGGATTTTATGAGATGTAGGGTAGGTAGGGGGGAAATCGGGAGGATGAGGGGATTTGGGGAGTGAACAATGAAGGTGGGAAGGTGGGAAGTGGGGGGAGCACTAGAACTGAATGTGACTACACAATTCATTTCAAAGATGATTTAATTATGGGGGGGTCGGGAGAAAATGCTCTGAAAGTGATTGTGGTAATGATTGTAGAATTCTTCTTGACATGATTGAACAATTGAATTGTATGATGTGAATTATGTGCCAATAAAACTAAAAAAAAAACAAAACTCTTTTGAAGGACCGAGTTCATCTGAATAAATACAGAAATGGTCCTGCTTTCAGATGGAAAGACTTAATATTATAACTATGTAACCAATTTGCTCAGTAAACTTTCACTCAAATAACAATGAAACCAAAAGGTTAAAACAAATAATTCGTTAATATGTCTGCAGGGGCAGTGAATTATTTAATGTGGCCCTCCTAGCCAAAGTCTCTAACTCCCACCAAAGGATCTTTTCCTGCCTGGGTATGGAAAGAGTGTGACAGATACTGGTAGGATTCACTTGTGCTTAACTGTGAATGAGACTTCCTGGAATGACTTCCTGCTGTATATAAGATCAGTCCTCTAAGGAAGGAGGGGTTTTCCTTACCAGCAAGGGCCAGAAGTGGAGCAATTCTTCTGGACTTGAGATCCCAAACAGTGAACCTCCTGAATCCAGAAGATAACAAACAGTAACATCAGAGAAGCAGCAGCAGAACCAGGATCCAGAGCACGGAACAGCATGATAGACTTCCCAACTCACAGAGCAAATAAAGCTGAGTGCTTTTGTGTAGGAGGTTGGCTTGCAGAATGGGGTGGCTCTGGGCATTTACATGGGAAAGCTGGGCTTGCTGACCCCTGGAAGTGCGGCTGAGTGCCTTCAGGCTGAGGATTAGTGAAGTGGGGTGCCTCAAGGAGCTAGGTTTGTGAACCCAGAGCTTGAATTGAATGAACGCCTTTTGGTTGAGGCTTCTACCGGAGCGGTATGCCCCTTTGGGCATTTATATATGACTAGATCGGAAAGACTTTTGTAACATGTCCGGGTAAACAATTATCCTGAGCATTTATCACTGACATTACAACCTGGTGAACTTCCTTAAATCCTTTCATCAGAAGGAGACAGCCAGGGTGTAGCATAGCAGCAATGGAACACACATTCTAGTTCTTTAATGCTTCCTCCCCACCACTATCATGACACCAGTTCTACCTTACAAATCTGGCTAGACCAGAGCATGTACACTGATACAGATAAGAGCTAGAAACACAGGGAACAGGAGAGACAAAGCCCTCAGGAACAATAATGGGAGTATCCATACCCTGAGGGTAGAGGGAAGGTGGGGGGAGAAGGGGGAGAAAGAGGGAACTGACTATAATGATGGACTTATAACCCCACACACACACACAGGGGGACAAACAACAGAAACGTGGGCAAAGGGAGACAGCACATGGTGTAAGATATGAAAATAATAATAATTTATCATTTATCAGGGGTCTACAAAGGTGTGTGTGGGGGGGGAATGAGGTTAAAAAGAGGAGCAGATACTAAGGGCTCAAGCAGAAAGAAAATGTTTTGAAAATGAAGATGGCAACATATGTTGAAATGTGTTTGATACAATTGATGTATGGATTGTTATAAGAGCTGTGAGAGCCCCAGTAAAATGATTTATTAACAATAAATAACCCGTTTCATCATGAATGATTTTACGTGATCAAAAATCAAAACAAGGATTTTTTTCTGCATTATCGGGCATCTCTACAATTAATCTAGGATACCCCTGTTGTTTTCCTGTATAAGAAAATCCAGGATAGGTAAATCTATATACAGAGTAACTGAATTAAGGATTCCTTGGGGGCATGGCAGAGGAGGTTGTGGGAGATGGGAAGCTAAAAAAACGATGAGTACAAGAACACAGAAAATGTTCTAAAACAGATGTGGTGATAATTGTTCCACTCTTTCTGAAGTGGTTGAACTGCTGAATTGTTTGATATGTGAACTATATGCCAATTAAACTGTCAAAAATTATAGTGTGAATTGTGTTTAACCCACTGCCATCAAAACCGCTCCTTGAGGTTTCTGAGATGGTCAATCTTTACAGAGCAACCTCATCTTTCTGCCTCTGAGAGGCTGGTGGGTTTGAACCAGCCTAACCGCCGCTAACCACAGCACCACCCGACTCTGTTTATTTAACAGTTCTCCAGCATTAGCTCACAGACTCTCTGATTACTGTCTACCTAGACTTGGTAAAGGGTTTGGCATTTAGAAGATACTCGAAGGTTTTATTCAGGAAAAAAAACCTACAGCTGAGGCTACACAAAAACAAAGAAATGCCGGCGTTCTGCCCTTTGCAACCAAGGGAACGCTCACGAGAGAAATTAGTGAAGCAGAAAAAAAAAAAGATTAAGGGAATGGGAGAAATGGAAAGGACTTCTCCCTCCCCTATCCAGGGCGGTTGCTCTGGAAGGTTCCAGAAAGGATTCCGACACCCCCGAGACATCACACTCCCAAACCACAGAAGCACCTATCACTTTCCCGCCTCCGAGGCCCAGAATGGGGGTGGAGCTTTTTGAGGGGCGGGGCGGTGAGAGCACTGGGCTGACGTCACATCCGGTCCAGCCTGCGCCACCGCGGGAGAGGGAAGGCCACGCAGGAAAGGGGCGGGGCCAAGAAAGCGCGCGTTCTGGCCGGGGGCGGGGCGCGCTTAAGGAGCCTCGCGTCACATCCGCCAGCGTTAGAGTCTGTGAGGAGGCAGCGTGGAGTGCTTCGTCTCTGAACGGCTCTGAAAGCTGCGTTCTACGCGGCTGCCTCGGCCCGGGAGGTTGACAGCTTCGACTGAAGCGCATCGAGCGGCGACTGCAGCCCGGAGTCATGAGCGACAGCGGCGAGCAGAACTACGGCGAGCGGGTACGTAGAGGTGGTGCAGAGGGCAGCTGTGTGATCACAGCTTCTCTCATCTCTTTGGAGGCCTGTTGGCCTCGCGCCGGGCGACAGAGGTTTAGGCTCCGAAGGCTGAGAGACAGAAGGTTAGGAGAGGGCTTTTTTTTCTTCACTGAGCCCTCGTAAGTAGTGTTTTAGGTCGTGAGAGCGGCCACCGGCTGGTTTCCCTGGCCTCCTGCCCGAGACGGCCGTTTGATCCGTTAGAAGGGGGGAGTGAGATTAAAGATGGCCGCGGCGTCCCCTCGGTGTGGGGGGAGGGGAGCGGGATCTGGTTTCGCCGTTGCTCGCCTGCCGCAGCCATCTTGGGCTGGCGAGCTGGGCGCGCTGCCAGAGGCACAAAATGGCGGCGGCGGGGCCCGCGGACTGCGCGCGCCTCCGGGGCGGGGCCGGGAGGGAAAGGAAGGGGCGGCGAGGCTGTGGTTTCGCCGGCTGTTGGAGGGTCCACGAGACCGGGTTCTGGGCCCCGGAAAAGACAGGTTCGCGGGCCAGCGAGCTGCGGGAGGAGACGCCGCCGCGCGCGGCCCTATGGCCTCGGGGGCGGGGCCCGCGGCGCGGGCTTTGTCGGCTCGCTGGGGAGAGGAGGGGCCGGAAGGGCGTTCCAGCGAGCGCGCTCGGAGCCGAGGGCGGGGACCGACCTTGCGCGCGTGCGAGGAAGGTTGGCGGGGGCTGCTGGATGGCGCCGTTAGTTGCTTTCTTTCGAGGCGATCCGATACTTTGAAGAGTGGCTTCTGTTGGTACTCTTTTTTTTTTTTTTTAATTGATCGAGCGAGACGTTGAGGGCTGATTGAATAAGGAGAATTTAAAACCGCTGCGACACTTAGGAAGCCGCTGAGTGGATGGGGTTGTGGGGGCACCATTTTGTGAAGAGGGTGAAAAGCATTCTGGGTTTCTAGCTTGGCGATTAGAAGTAAGCAGCCACGTGGACTGGTGTGAGCTTGGCGTTGAAAGAAGTTGGGTGTCGGGTGTTTGGGATTTTAATCTTAGCCTTTTAAAGAAACTTAGTGTTCCCCTCTGCTGGTAGAACTGGCGAGATCTGAAGAGTATTTTTCAGCTCTCCAATGGGAGCGCGTACTCGAGACTGCCGTCTTGAGAGGGTCTCTTTCAGGAACCCGCTTCCTGTTTCTCTTTGTTTCTAGAACGTGAGGGAATCCACTGGGCAACTTTGGAACCGGGTTTGATGGAATTAACCGGACCTTAAATTAGTTTCTTGGGACTGGCGATTGGATCGAGACCCCAAGCTTTAAAACTGAGACTTGTGCTTAGGCCGCAAATCACTTCATTTCCGCTTTTACATTTCCGTTGTTAGAGGGAAAGGAGAGCTTGAGTACTAGTTAGTGAGCGAAGGTGGATTATAGCTGCATTTGCGAGGGTGGAAACTGCCCAAAGATTAATAAACTTATTTTGTAAAATGGGGGGGGGGTCCTGGTTAGAGATTGCTGAAGAGATACCGTCATCTTAACTAGAGATCTACAACTTCAATTTTTCTTTAAAAACTACATACTAGACTTCGTTGCGTACCATAGGTATTAAGTTCTAGGAGAGAACAATTAAAACGGCATGTATTTTTGCTACCATAAGGGACTCTGGGAAAGATTTTAACAAGAATCGTTTGAAAAATGCTATTAAGAGCAAGGTAGAACTGTCAAACTTGGGAATGGTCAAACCTTCCCATTCTTAAGAACTGCCTGGAAGCTATGAAAAGTTTATGATGGGTGTGTTCAAGGTAACTGTGGAGGTGCTTACTGTTTTAACTTCTGGAATTTAAAGTTTTAACTTTAAGCTTTTGAAACATTACCAAATGGTTTCTTGTTCAAATGGAATCTTCCCTATTCCGTATCCCAATCCTGCACTGCCTCACTCAATTTCCAAGAAGCTCCCGCCCCCCGCCCGCCCCCCTTTTCTTAACATCTAAAGCCAATAACACCTATCCCCATGGCACTGGTTAGTGACTGGGCTGCTAACGTTTTGATTGGTAGTTAAAACTGATCACCTTTTCTGTAAGAAAGATGAGGCTATCTGCCTCAGAAATCCTTATGTAGTGTAGAGGAGTCCGAATTGCCTAGATGATGGTGAGTTTGGCCCTTTTTTAGTTGGTTTTAAACCTTCCTGAACAGCCAGGTTTTATATGTGGAAACTTGTAGAATTGGTCAGCATACTCGGTAAATCAGTACATATTTAATGTGACTACATGATGTGTTACTTTGTAATGAGTACTTAGGGCAAAGTAGCTATGGGGTCTGAAGTGTGTTTATTATTTCTGCATCTCAAAGATGATATATTTATATTTAAAACTGCTTTCCTAGCCAGAGTTAGCTTTCCTGAACTAGCCAAGCCACGTTCAAAAGTAAAATCTCTATAGTGGCTCAAGTGGCTTCAATTCAAGTACTTAACCAAATTGCCAACCCTGGGGGCGGTGTTCTAACAGATGAATTCCTTCACAACTTAAAAGAATTAAGAGCATAACTAAGCAAGTTTAAACAATGGCTAGGTATTGTAGGGTTAGTATTCATACCTTAAGTAAATCTTTGAGGCCTCTAATCTCTGCATAGGAGTATGTGAGTTTTGTGTTGTCTGATCTCGAGTCAGTTTTTACTATGCTACCCTTTTACAGTTATGATCTCTAGGCAACAATAAGGAAACTATTGAAAGGACAGGACCCAAATAGGGCTTTAATTTCTGTGAAGCGATCAGGATTACACTAGTAAATATATTTTGACCTGGCAAATACTTTAATAGAATACTGGCTATTTGTAAGAAACTGTATTTAAAATACAAGTGCCTGCTTTCAGTTAAATACAGCATCTGGATACTTAGCATTCCATCAAAGCTGCCTTTTGAATTCTGCAGTTTTCCTCCTCTTGCTAATCTTCAGTTGTCTTTTAGTATTCTGTTTTTAACACCGTAACTCTTATATTCAATATTGAGACATCTAGATCTTTTGTTTCTTCCTAAAGAATATCTCACCAAACTCTTTAATACTGTCAAGTGGAAGGAAATGTTTGGTACTACCCGGGAGTCCAGTTAGCTGTGAGTAGTCTAGGCTCTTTATGAAAGTAGGCTTAAATGAGTTTATTGATTATAAGAATGCTTTAATACTCTGGACATTGTCTGGGAATAGAAGGTGGTGTTTTCAAACTGAAAATATAAGGTAAGTATTACCGGTTTTGTCAAGGTATGGAAGAGGAATTCAGACTGGTGTGAAAGCCCTTGTTGACCCCTCCCTTCTTACCTTTACATGCAAAACACTTTCTCAGTTGGTTCACACTTTCAAGGCACCGTGAGAGAGGTAGACTTTAGAACCATAGTATATTTTATGGTGTTGATCCGGTTTTGCACTTAATAGGTATTTTTATAAAGTACAGAGATGGTATTTTGATTTCCTGTCAATTCAATTTATAGCACCATTTGGCTACAGGGGAAAAAACCATTTGGATTGGCCTTTTTACAAACCAGAACACTGTGTTTTCTTTGTCCTCTGTAATTTTTAAACCATTGCCTTGCCAGTCATCTTACCAACAAGAACTTCCCAAAAAGCTTTCTGGGGAAATTTATTTTTTAATATTTTAACACTAAAGCTCCTCGTGGGCTATTGCAACTCCTGGAATGATTTTTAACAAAAATTGTGTTGGCTGGTAGGATGGATCTGTTTCTAAGTAAGACTTCTTAACAATGTGCATCATATTAGACCAATGGTTAGTCCTTCGGTTTTATAAAGTGGCCACTTGAAATTACTAAACTGAGTTGGAATATATACTCAGTTGTGTGTGGTGTTCTTTGAATATGAGAAAGAATTTGGAAGAGGTACAAATAACAGTAGGAAGGCATCCATGATGGAAATAGGACATTAACCTCTGTTCCAGTATTCAGTCTTATATATCTATCTACTGTATCTGTACTTACATTTAGGAGGCCCTAAGAGGAAATCTGCTTGGGCATTCTGATTCCATGATTACATTTATGTTGCCAGTAAATATCTCCCATTACATTTTAGTGATGGATATTAAAAAGAAAAGCAATTGCTGTGACTCCTTTAAGGTAAAGGCCTATTATAATTTTCTCCTGGATTAAAGTTCAACAATTAAAAGATAGCTTAGAAGTTAACCTTTGAAATTACATCACATTTCCTCTGGTAGACATGGTTGTCTTGATCTAAATTGGGAAGGCTTGTTTTTTTGTTGTGTTTTTTTTTTACCCTAAAAAAGAATTCAGGGGAGAAAGGCTTTAGGATTTCCCCCCTCTGCCCCAACAAAGAAATAAAACTTAGGTTAGCAAATCATTGATAACGCAGTAGTAAAAGTCTTTGAAGGAGATAGGAAAAATGGAATGCTTATGGAAGTATTTTGTTTAGTGCTCAGTGTACACTGATACTGTATTGATTTGCTAGGTTGGCATTCTTTAAATGATTTGAGGTGAGCCTATAATTCTCCCAATCTTGCCACCTTTGAACCTAGGGTTCCTTTTTTGTATATCTGAAGCTTTTAGTATTGTTCTTTGGGGTGAGGATATTACCACATTTTGTGAAAATGCCCGCTGTTTGGATTCAAGTTTGTTCTGTTTTTCTTTGTAGTTTATCGCATGGTTAACTTGACATTTTTTCCTCTGATTTTAAAATGCTCTAAATTTAGTAGTTGGGCTATCCATGCTGTACATTTTTATTAGAGCGGCTTTCTACAGGTGGATTAAACACTAAAGCTCCAAATTTTTAGGTTCTTTGATATTTTGACAGTCCTTAAATATGCAGTGCAAAAATGTGATATTAAATATATTATTTGACCTTACCTAGAAAATCACAATATTGTAAAACTTCATTAACCCCAAGTCTTTGACATTGTATAAATAGTCCATGCTTTCCTTTCTTGCACTTTTGTATTAATGTGTCACTTGGACTAGAGATACTGACACTGGCATTTTCTATTGATGAATAAAATAAGTGTGAAATGTAATTTTAGTTCTTAAAGTGTTAAATGAACAGTAAATGTTCACGTGAAAAGTTCACATTCACTTAAGCATGATAAAGTCTATTTGGAGTAGACAAATAAAAATTACTACATTTTAGAATGGCAACTAGCTTCAGTTTTTTTGAGCTGCATATTCTAGGGTTTTCTTTGTTTTGTTTTTTAAATCCAAAACCAAAGGGATTTTTCTAGTTTCAGTTTTGGCACTGGATTTTATCCTGGAGTTTTAAAATATTCTTCATCCTGTTCTTTTTCTATTAAGGTTAATGTTGAAGAAGGAAAATGCGGAAGTCGTCATTTGACAAGTTTTATAAATGAGTATTTGAAGCTCAGGAATAAGTGAAGCTGAAATTTGAAAAAATAAAAGAATGCATGCTAATTATCAGACCAGAAGTCCCACTTGTAGAATATTGAGCAATTTGTGAGAAGTGGGGAAGATGAAAGAAGTCAGAATTTGAAACGGAAGAATGAAGAAAAGAAATAAAAATGAAGTTAAGATAAGAAGTAATCTGGAATCAGAAAGCACTACGCTAAGTAATTACTAGTCTGTTTATGTGTCCCTGTATATTTTGCTAAACATGCATGCATTATTTGTTTAATAGAAGAAAATATATACAGGGTTAAGAAGTGCCTTCCAGGGGAAACGTTTACATTAGGTAATTCTAACTTTAATTTGCTTGGTCAAATGATTGAAATGCCTTTTCTTTTTCTTTTAAATTAACCCTTTGTAGTCAAATATTAGGCAGAAATGAGTAGTTCTGTAGTGTGGGTGACTGTTCACATAATGGTCTCTCCCCCTTAGGTTTTCATCTAACTCATGGTGTTTGTGACTGCCTACTTCTATTTTCTCTCACAGCTTGGTGTTTCCTTATGATGGTGGGGCAGGCAGGGAGGGGAGTGTGCACATACACTCCTGCATACTGAACCAGTATAGTGTTAGCAGATGCTTTACTTTTACTCTCGCTTCTAGCACTTAGCTGTTAGTAGTAGTTTGATAGAGATTTATAAAGGTAGCTTTGTTCCTGGTCCTCACCCTCCCACAAGTGCAGAGGAAATCACAAATTTTTTTACAGGGTGGGGGGTGAGTTTTATTTTATTTTTTGTCTATGGAGGGGGAAGGAGTCCCACGATTCGTGTGATGTTAACTAGCTGTATACAGCAAGTATATGTTAATCATGCCTTGTATTACCCAGCCAACAACTGCCTTCTTTCTACTAGGAAAAGTCAAGCTAAGTGATATCTTAAGTGATTGATTCTTCCTGAAGTAAAGGCAACCTTAGAAATATGTTCATAAAGCACTTTGAGAAGGTGGTTTAAATAGCATTTCTTGGAAAGACCATCTTAAAGGGTTTAAGTCTATTGTAATGTAAATTTTTTGGCCTTTTTGTGGTCTCTACCTTGCCTTAGTTTTTGTATTCTTCTCCCAGTTACTTGAGGTTACTTTAACAACTGGCGTATTTGTGTGTCCAAGCTGACTTTATTTTTATGGTAAGACCAGGCTTTCACATGAAAAACAAAAAATAGTTTTGTGTACTTTTTTAAAAAATCCTGGCTTGTTTAAAGAACTTACAGTTTGATTTAATATTAACTGTATTTTAAACTAAAAAAGAGTGGGTTGAGGTTAAAGGGATGTTCTGTTACCGGGGTGGGGGGCACGAGGCTTTAAATCAGGAGACCTGGGTGGTTCTTGATGGGGGGGGGGGCACACCATTTATCCATCTGTGGGAAAGAGCAACTTAAAATGTGACCACAGTGGACCCCATCTTATCTGTAACTTCCACCCTCTTGGTCAAAGTCTCTTTAAATTTGAGGATGCCTTGCTCTAGACAGGCCTCTGGTCTTTTGAGGATAGGATGCCATAAGGTGCATGCTTCAGGCAGGCAGGTCGGCCAAGTAGGTAGGCAGAAGCAGGAATCCTATAAACCAGTTGAGTTCTTAAAGCATCAAAGATACGGTTTCCCTCTTATTCCTAGTCTTTAAGACACTACTGCTCCGTTTGGGGAGCAGCAATTTAGTATTAAACAATTACTGCATTATTTGTGACACTTGGTCTGCTAAAATTCCTTGAGGAAACTAAGACTTATGTTTTTCTACTCTCTTAGTTGGATAAACTGCCTAAAGCAAGAGGCTTGATGGAAATCTAGATTTTTCTTGCCTACTTATATTTAGGTTGTGGCTGATGCTAAAATTTAATTGGTATTCTAGCTTTTTACATGAAGCGTCCATATTCTCTTTAACCCCTTTTCCGGGAAATTTTCTGTTACCCATTCCATGGCATAAACTATAGCATTGGAATAAGCCGTTTTGTAACATTAGAGTTCTTTCTTTTAACTATTAACGCATTAGCTTTTGTTTGTGGTGTAGCTAGATGGTACTAATTAGACTTAACCCTTTTCTTACTGTCTCTCCACCCACCCACACCCACCCCCCTTCCGCTTTAGTTTAGAGACTTAGCTAGTTCTGTGTCAAAGGGCAGAGGGAGGTTAGCTATATACTTGTAAACATCTCAGTGTATATGTTAGAGAATTCAGGACCTAGTTCTTTGGGGTTCCCAGAGCAGCAGTAAATCCATTAACCATTTTGTTCTTGGTGCTAAGAAAGCTGTTGCACATCTTTTTCTTTGAAATCTCTTTATAGAAAAGGGAGCTGCTGTCAGTTCATGTCATTACATCGAAACTTACATATGACTTTGCAATCTATTTTTAACACTTAGTTTTGTTTTTAGGCTAGAGTTCTGAATTCTATTAATGACTGTTACTATTTGTTTCTCCCTTTTACATTTCAATTTAATTATTCCCTATTTGTCATTTTGAGAGTGGGGAGGTCTATTGTGATTATTCCATTTGCACCTACTCAAATTTTTGGATGGAAAGAATCACTAGATTAAATATTATTTTAACTTGCTTAAATTGGGTTACCAATAGAGGCTTCTTTGTAGTGGGATACGCTTTGGGCTGCTAACAACACATGATCAGCATTTTAAACCCACCAGCAACTCTGAGGGAGTTTTTGCTCATGTAATCCTGTAGGGGCAGTTCTGCTCTGTCTACGGGGTCAACATAGGGTTTCCTTGATTTTGATACTTAAAAATTGGCAGGTTTCTGGTTCTGTTACTCTGCCCTTTACTGTTCCAGTGCCTTAGAAGAACTTACTTTCAGTACTATTACTTGTACTGAATTGTGCCTTTCTATTGGTGTGGGTGTGTGTGTGCGCTCTCCTGGTGGTGTAGTGGTTTGCTCAGTGGGCTGCAATCTGCAAGGTCAGCAGTTCAAAACCACTAGTCACTCAACTGAGGGGGGAAAGGCACTTTCTACTCCCTTAAAGAGTTAGTGTCAGAAACTCATGGGTGTAGTTCTGCTCTTTAGGGGGCCCTATGTGTTAGCATGGACTGGATGACAGTGAGTTTGGTGGGTGGGTATGTTTTGCTTAGGCTCCTGGATGAACTAGTTAGTTACCTTGTGCCCTTTTTTGCTGCTTGCTTTAGAGATCTTTTTGTGCCTTTCACTTTCTGTTTTGTTCCTATATCTTGATAAGGAAGCCTACATAGTTAATGCTCTTGATTTGGCTTTTGTACTGCCTTCCAGGCCCCTAGATTAGGCACCTCAGATCTAATCTGTTTCCGTGTGCCTTTGTGATTTATTTATTATTTAGTTGTGGGTTTCTGGTAAGCTTTCTGGTCATCAGCACAGGTCAGTGCCTTTCTGTTCATAACTATACTTACTAGTTATAGAGTTTAGTAGGGTGTCCACTGTTAGGTGGATAGAGATGGTCCTTGATTTTTTTTTTTTTTTTTTTGAATAGGATTTTGCCTCTAGAGCTTGAAATGGAGAGATCTTATCTCTTGCTATACTTAAAAACTATAATTTTAAAAGTTTAGGTGTTTAAAATATTTCTATTTTGGTTTTTTTAACTGCAAAACTTTTTAAGCAACTTACAAATTTCATAGGCTTTGTTGATTGCAATCTGAATAAAATAGTTATAAAGTATAGGTGTCATAGTTAGAAAGAATTTTCTTACCCTAGTCTTTATGAAGTCACGATCCCCTGGACAGTTCCTTTACTGTTTGATTTTTGTACCCCTTTCTAAAGGGAATGGGGTCAGATAGTGGAAGAAAGGACAAGTTAATTGACAACTTTAGTTGGAGCAAGGAAATTATACCAGGTATACAGTTCCTGCCCTTACGTATGTTTTCTTACCTTGGAAGGGGATTGCTTTTTCCCTCACCATTTATCTCACAGCAGCTTATTTGTTTTTGAAGTTGCCCAGAAAGTATACAAATTAAACTTTTGAAATCTGCGTGTAGGAATCCCGTTCTGCTTCCAGAAGTGGAAGTGCTCATGGATCTGGGAAATCTGCAAGGCATACCCCTGCAAGGTCTCGCTCCAAGGAAGATTCCAGGCGTTCCAGATCAAAGTCCAGGTCCAGATCTGAATCTAGGTAAGAAAGACTGTCATGGCATTTTCTTCTGTTACACTTAGCTCTGAAATTGGTGTGTGCTTTGTAAACCAGGAAGGTAGAGAGGGTTAGATTATTTGTTGGCCTTTTAAATACTGGTAACCAGATATGAACTTAATTCTAAGTTCATTCTATAAGTTTTGGGCGGCAGACTATTGAATGGCTAAGAGCCTGTGCTTTTGGAGTCAGGATTCAACTCTTTACCTCTATTTTTGCGGTCTTGGGTAGATTGCTTAACCTTTTCAACTTTAGTTTCTTTATCTGTACAGGAAGAGGTTAGCAATAGGGCTAGTTCTTTGGAGTTGTGGAGACTACTTAGTATGGCAACTATACTTCAAAACCTGATGAGAAATAAGTAGGGTTTAGCATATTACATGTGTAATCAAACAATGCTGCAGTCCTTTCTTTCCTTTCCTTTTTTAATGCTGGTTGAGAAGGGTAAACATGACTAGGACGTTGCCAGTTTAAGCCTGGGACTCAGGCATAATTAGTAACCCCTTTTATCTTTGAAACAAATCTTGGTTGAAATAAACAAGCTCATATGGATGGTTTTTCTAGTGAAGAGCCACTCACTGGTTTAAAAAAACTCGTGGAAAACTACTTGGGATGGTGATAGTATCTTGCTGACTGAATATGGTGAGCATGTTGTGAGAAGCAGAAAAATGGAGTGTTCTAATGGGGAGAAGAGATGGGTGCAGTAAGTTAGTGTACTGTTGCATGTACTGTTGGTTTTCAAAAGCTACTAAATGTCCATTTTAATCTTCATATTACTTAAACAAATGTTGGAGAGAGCTGTGGTTTGAGAACTTTTCCCAGAAAGAATTTAAATGAGTAAAGAAAAGTGAGAACCCCAGTTAATTGGTGCCGTGTTGGTGTATGTCTGAAGTCTGTATAAGTGTTCCCTCGCTTGAAAGTTTTGACTAGAGTAGTAAATAAACTACTAACATGGCTATTGTCAGATATTTGGTCCTAACCTTGAAGCCTTTGTCTTGCAGGTCTAGATCCAGAAGAAGTTCAAGAAGGCATTACACAAGATCTCGGTCTCGGTCTCGTTCCCATCGACGATCCCGTAGCCGGTCTTACAGTCGAGATTATCGTAGGCGGCACAGCCACAGTCATTCTCCCATGTCTACTCGCAGGCGTCATGTTGGGAATCGGGTAAGGTGAATTTTTCTGTTTTTAAAACCATGGATCAACAAAAGAACTTGTTTGGAGTTAAAACTGATTTTATTGGACCTCAGCCCTCTATCAGAAGTGTCACCCAATATTTACATAACTGGTACCTGACACAAATTTTACATTAAAGCTTTGGGGTAGGGTTTAAAGAAGCTTCTGGGGCTAGAGGGTGGGGTAGGAAGGGGCAAGTGATTGATTGCATAATCAAAAGGGAGACATGCTTAAGAATGAAATGGAATTTTCAGTGGAACTGCACTGTGATATTTTCTGTGCTGTAATCTTTAAGGGAAGCAAGCAGATCACCAAATCCGAGAATTTTAACTATTGGGCTTTGTTTATAAACTTGTGTGAACATTTGTGTCTGTTGTTTCTATAAAAATGGTGCCCAGTTCAATAATTCCCTTGGATTTTGGTGATTGAAAGCATCCCATTTGTATGCATATATATCACTTTGTTTTAAATTGCTTCCTTTTGGGGGCCACAGAAGTGGAGCTGAATATCCCCTGTGGAAATGTGTGTAAATATTCAAAATAAATCCTTAGAAGATGAATTGAATAGGATAAGTTCTCTGAAATAAGACGTTTTTGTTTTTATGATTTCATAAGTTTTCAAAATCTGCAATTCATTTCTTTGTAATTCTAGGCAAACCCTGATCCCAACTGTTGTCTTGGAGTGTTCGGGTTGAGCTTATACACCACCGAAAGAGACCTTAGAGAAGTGTTCTCTAAATATGGCCCCATTGCTGATGTGTCTATTGTATATGACCAGCAGTCCAGGCGTTCAAGAGGATTTGCCTTTGTGTATTTTGAAAATGTAGACGATGCCAAGGAAGTAAGTGAAAAACCTATCTGTACCTTCATAAGAGTGATTCTTTGTGTCAATTCCAAATATTAATGACCAGCTAATTGGCACTCATTTGAGTTAAAAGGTAAGCAATTTTGGAATGGATGTGGTCGTTATGATCGGCTCACTCATTCTAAGTCACACTTTCTTGCTAATCACACTTCTTAAAAATAATAATGAAGTTATCGTTCCACTTCAGTAATTATAAACTAATGAATGCCCCAATTCTTTGACCTTTGCCACATTTAATTCAACAAAGATCTGGACCAGACCACCCAAAAACTGAAATTTTGGTCTAAAGGATGAGTGAATATTAAATAATCCTTTACCTTATAATATCAATGTAGACAAAGGAATAGGAACTGAGCAAGTAGTTTCAAATTTGAATACTAATTTGACTTGAGTGAAGACCCAAAAAATCTGTATGAAGATAATGATCTAAAGGTACCCAAATAAAATGAGAAGTTATCCAAACTTAGACTGATCCGTGTAGTCTCAATCAGGATATTCAACATTATAAACCTAAAGAATTAGAAAAAGCCAAATGTGTATAATAGCTTGCTGTGTCTCAATAAACCTTTATTTGTGGAGAATGGTCATAATAATGATTTCAAGAAACAAGTCTTAAATTGTGTGAATCAAATGACTTGGATATAACTAGCTGGTAGATTGGTTTTATCTAGTTATGATCACTTGTCATTTTATTGAGGGAATGTATTAACACCTTACGTGTAACTTTTGTAGGCTAAAGAGCGTGCCAATGGAATGGAGCTTGATGGTCGTAGGATCAGAGTTGATTTCTCCATTACAAAAAGACCACACACCCCAACACCTGGCATTTATATGGGGAGACCTACCTAGTAAGTTTATATTTTGAATATAGTATACTTTTTTCAACTTGCTTACTTTGCACTAAGGGTTACATTCACTACGAACAATCTTCAGGGCTGATCTTCCCAAAGTATAAATTGTTTGATTTTAAGTTTTGTAACTAACTTAAAGTACATTTCGTATTTTTTTTCATTGGAAATACTCTTTCTGTAACAGATTTCTGAGTTAACTTTTAAATCTATTTCTTACAAGCTTTGCTAAGGGAGTAAGTGCTGAACTTCCTTTTTCTAAAGGATATACAAGCTTTGATCTAAATACTAGTCATTGCATTTTTTTACCCTTTGTACCTACCTGTATTTAGTGTGTTGGATTATGGGTATATTTTTCATCTTAGCAGTATCTCTTTAGAGATAAGTGTCTTAATAGTGTGTGATTTGGTGAAAGCAAAAGAATCCCTTACACGTGTTCCAGCGTGGGGGGTGCTTCCTCTCCGGGATATTGGAATTATCCAAGGAGGCTCCAAAGGCAAATAACCTGTATCTTTAAAAAATATTTGTCAATTGCTGCCAAGTAGTTTTCTGAAAGAGGGACAGTGACAAGTTTAGGCCAGGTAGATTTGGGAACATGAGCAATTCATACATATAAGCCAACCCAAATACCAGCTGAGACACCTAATTTTACCGCAAAACTGCCTTTAAAATGTGCTGAAAAACTCCGCTTATACACGAGTATATATGGTATGTATGTATCCTCGTAACAAAGCAGTGAGTGGTCTGTGTCTTAGACGAGAATAATGCAAAACATTAGTACTTTCTGAGTTTTTTGGTGCCAGTCTGCCTCTCTAGAGAGAGTTATGCTGTAGCAATTTCTCAGCCTTATCCACAGAGCTTAGTGTCATGTGTTTTGTATGTCAAGCTCTAGTCTCAAATTGAAAAATTACTGGTATTGTAAAAGGCTTAATTTTTTATTCATAGTGGCAGTTCACGCCGTCGCGACTACTATGACAGAGGATATGATCGAGGCTATGATGATCGGGACTACTATAGTCGATCATACAGGTAAAACATACTATGTATATCCTAAACTGAGTGTCTTTCAAAACCACTTTCTTATCTATATATCTTTTACTTCCATTTACATGTTTGCTTTTGTTCATTATGTAGATACAAATGGGATTTTTAACAATAGGATTCTTGGTAGCTTTCTATCAAAATCTTGATATACCTCAAAGAGTTGTCTTGTTTGTTGGAATGATCATGAACAGTAGTTTGAATAAATTATTTAGACCACAGTTAGCTTGGTATGACAGTGACCACATTTTTTATCAGCAAAATGTTGGGTCTTTGTTCTTTTAAAATTGTCTAGTTTATTATCACTCCCTGAAACCATTTTCTTAAGCACCATCTTACTAGTGACATTTTACAGGGGAAATTTTGGCAGATGATAGATTTAAAGTCTTGGCAGTGGGGTTATATAATCTAGTGATATTTACTGTAGCCACCAGAGAGAGCTCCAGGCCTGTTCTAAAAAGGGCAACAAAAAAGGCTCAAGTCAAACGTGATTATTATATGCAGGAATTCTATTATTTCAAATATTTAAAATGTATGTCCTTTCTACCTCAACAGAGGAGGGGGTGGTGGAGGAGGAGGATGGAGAGCCGCTCAAGACCGGGATCAAATTTATAGGTAGGCCAAGAGAAAATTTATCTATGAATGTTTTGATATTTATAATACTTGGCACCATCACACAAAATAGATTTCAGTAAACTTATGAAAATAGTTGTGAGGTAAAAGTGTTATGTGTATAAAATAATTGATTTTGTGCTAGAGGCTACTATATCATTTTGAGATGAAATCCTGGAGTAAGCTTAAAAGTGAATTGAACTGGTGGGGGGGGGGGGCTTGTTAAATGCAATTCATGGAATAGTTAACCTGAGGTTTAGAGAAAGGGTGGCTCTCTGGAATGAGACTTAATACTCCAAGGAGTCTAGCCAATTTTGAGACCGCTATCATTTGGGAGTGTAAGAAAGTGATGGTGTGTGATCTGATATACTTTTCATTGTGATTTATGGAGACTTAGACAGCTTTGAAATTTGTTCACAGAAGACGGTCGCCTTCTCCCTACTATAGTCGTGGAGGATACAGATCACGTTCTAGATCTCGATCATACTCTCCTCGTAAGTTTATTTTTTCATGACTGCTAATGTTCGTAATTAAACTGTTGCCATTGCCAGATTCTACACTTTTGTAGTTTTTCATAATGTTTAATATCTACCAAGTGTGTTAGTTGTTTACGTCTTCTAGAGACTTAAACTTATGGTAGTAATAGCTTGGCATGGTGGGGGGTTGCGTATCAGTTAATAAATCCATAAATTCACTGCCTTTGAATCCATTTTAACTTGTAGCAGCCTTATAGGATAGGGTAGTAAAAATACTCCTGTAAGTTTCTGACACTGTTTTAAGAGTAAAAAGGCCTTTCTCCTGAGGGAGCTACTGGTGGATTCCAATTGCTGGCCTTGCAGTTAACAGCCTCAAATGGAACCAACCACCAGGACTCCCAAAAAGTAATGAGTGGAGGGGCTAAAGAAAGTTTGGAGTTCACTTGTAGTAAATGCAGTCTGTTACTTGTTAAACTTTCAAAGTATGAGATAAATTCATTGCACATTAAACCTTTTTTTTTTTTTTTCTAGGCCGCTATTAAAGCATGAAGTTGAAGACTTTCTGAAACATGCCCTATAGTTGGGATATTGATTGTGGGCAATATTTTTTTATTGTCTCCTGTTAAAAAGTGAACAGTGCCTAGTGACGAAGTTAGGTGACTTTTACACCTTTTATGATGACTACTTTTGGTGGAGTTGAAATGCTGTTTTCATTCTGCATTTGTGTAGTTTGGTGCTTTGTTCAAAGTTAAGTGTTTTCAGAAAAGTATGTTTTGCATGTATTTTTTTACAGTCTAAATTTTGACTGCCGAGAAGTTTCTATTGTACAAATCTTCATTCAAAAGGTTTTTCTACTGAATTCAGGGTATTCTGAAGATCAAAGCCTGTGTTGTAAATTGCTACCAAATGGCAAAAAAAAGTGGGAATAGTTTTTTGTTGGGTTTTTTTTTCTTCCCTGTAACATCAATGCTTAGCAGAACTGTTCAGAGTAAATTGTTGGTAGTAAATTTTAAAAGAAATACCCATTTGTCCTCCAGTTCATTGAAAGTACCATACTTAATATACTTGCAACTAAGTGTTAAATTATGCTCTGTAACTCTGTACTACTAGTCTTATTAGAACTAAAGATACTTCAATACAGCAAATGCTTAATGCTTAATTGTGGATTTGTCTGCTTTTATGTAACCTAGTATATATACAGCAGGGATTAAGAAGAGTTAGCCAGTGTATGCCTTTAAAAAGGCTAGTTCTTGGAGATTGTTACATTGGGATAATGGTATTTCAACTACTTATTGGCAAATGACAATACATTCCACCTCAAATGTAATTTTGTCCTATGCTATGTGAAAAAAATACTGGGCGCTGCAGAGTACAGCATGAAAGATAACAGACTTCGCCTGTTCATTTTTGAAATATTCTTTTTAGGTCCTTTGCTTACCAAAGGAGGCCCAATTTCACTCAAATGCTTTGAGAAGCCCTGTTTAAATAAACTCAAATGGAAGAAGAAAATTTACTGCTGTGACTACAGTTTACAAAGAAGTATATTTCTGTTCTAGTTTGCTTTGTGGTTTAAATCTTCAATAATTCTGTGCTGTGCCCTTAATTCTCACGTCTGTATCTGAGCCCAGGTAGTCTAAATTTACACTTCTCCAAACCCCCACCCCACCCCCAATAGGTAAAAATTGGAATATGGAGCAATTGAAAAGGACTATTTGCAACTCTTTGTCAAACCTTGGTGGTGTGTTTTGCTGGACCTGATAAATAAAACTGGAGTACACGAAGTATCTGGAAATTACTTTAAACCAATTTTAGTATGATTGATGCCTTCAAAGAAAATTGTTTTTTGGAATGTAGCCAGAGCAGATGTGTCATAGAGGACTAGATTAAAGGCTGAGGAGAATGGGATGGATCGTAAAGATTTTCACACCATTAGGCTGCAACATTTGTTGGGATTTACTGTGGGCAATGGTAAACGATGTTACTTAAATCAAGTTACAGCAAGCAAGAAAGGGTCCTGCATTATTTGGTGGTCTTATGAGGCTCAACTTGGTAGTGCATGTTTCCTTGAGTTCTGCATATAATCACAATGGTACCTAACCTGTTTGTGTACCACCAAGTCTAGACAAAATTAGGGCATATGGCAAAACACCCTTATGATTTGTTCTTTTGCCCGTTTTCAAGGTTTTCTGTGTATAAAATCCAAGATAAGTCTAGAAACAACTGGATTAATAATTTACCTAGGGACACTTACAAGGTGATTAGAGGGAAACAAGAAGCTAACGTACAGTGAATTTTAAAAGTTCCTCTGAATTTGTCAAAAAGCCACACTCTCCATTAGGAAATTACTTTTAGGTTGACATGTATTACCTAAATAACATAACTTTACAAAGCCAGACCATGAAAAGACCACCTTGTGCTCTGATTCTCTTAGCTGAGGAAGGATAGCAACTATGAACAAACTCTTAAACTGCCTCCATCTTTTCAGCCAAGTGATGTCAAGTCCATGTTGGAGTGGATCAGATATCTTCATGAGGCACTTCCAGCCAGAACCACCCAGTTAAACTCTTATCGAATTGCTGACACCCCCAGAAAATGAAATAGTACATGTTTATCGGTGTGTGCAACCTGCCAGTAATTTCATGTACAGAAGAAATACACAATCCAATTTTTTAAATGTAAAGATATTCTCCAACAAAATATAAATCAAGTTTAGCAAGCTGATTCAAATTAAAGCACCAGCAAAATAAAAGATGCCATTGCCAAACATTTTAACTGATTTCTAATTGGCTTATAGTAGCAAATATGACGATAGGTTTTCATAGGCAGTAGATAAATAGGCAAATCTTCATACTCTGACCCAGAAATTTCACACTTGCAAATGTACTCAGCAGGAGTGAGTTTACATCCACCAATAACACTTGGTATTCTCATAACATCCAAATGAGAAATAAATGCCCTTCAGTAGCAAGGGAATAAATATTCTGTGTCTATGGATGGACTTCAGACATGTTCAGTGAAGTAAAATACATTCTATGGAGTAGATGCTAAGACCAAGAACTGACAAAACTGAATTGGAATACTGATTAGTTCTACCTCATTGCTAGCAGGTAAATTCAGACTTGTAACAACAATACAAAAGTAGAGCTACCTTACATGAACAAGTTTGTTGAGGTGGGCCTTTTCCTTGGAGCAGTTGGTGGGATAGCAACATTCGTCTTGATTGGCAGTCAAGTGCTTAACCAAGGCTGCTTGGCTACATGGGAGTTGTATTATGAGGCATTCTGGAGTACTAAAATGTTTTCCAGTAGGTGTTATACATCTATTTTAAAGTTGCGAGTTTAGAAAGAGGGACAAGTAAGTTAAAGTACATTACACCTGAGAAGTACAAGTAGATCCTGAACGTAGGAATAATCAAAATTCAAAACATGATACTGGTTGCCATTGTGTTGATTTTTTTTTTTTTTATGGTGTCCACATCTGTGACCTTTAAGCAGCAGAATGCCAGGCCTGTACTCCAAAGCACCCGTGGGTGTGTTTGAAACGAACCTTTCCACTGATTGCTTGACCGTTTGAGCCCAAAACAAACCGATTCCATCAAATTGATTCCAACAGCAATTCCACAGGGTAGAACTGCCCCTGTGGGTTTCCCAAACAGAAAGCATCTGTCATCTATAGAGCACCTGGTGGTTTCAAACCGTTAGTCCAATGGCTAGCCCACTACACCACCAGGACTCCCTTTGAGCCACCTGGGTAGAACTGCCCCTGTGGGTTTCCCTAACAGTAGAAAGCATCTGTCATCCATAGAGCACCTGGTGGTTTCAAACTGTTAGTCCAATGGCTAACCCACTACACCAGGACTCCCTTTGAGCCACCTGGTGCCTCCTAAAATTCACTTACATGGTGTTTGTTGTGACTCAGCGACCCTGTGACTGCCTTTAAGAATTTGCAAGTATGAAAACAGCCAAGTGGCATGCAACAAGAATGTGAGTTCACGATGGGTGATAAGGGCAAGATTTTCAGAAGTGTGATCAGTGCCACACTGGAAAGGGGTCAAACACAAGACTGGCCAAGCCCCTGGATTCAGTTACACAGATGCCAATAAGACCAAAGGTATCACCTGGGGGGAGGACACACCGATGGGAGTATTTGGAGAATCCCAAGAAGGACATCCCCGGAACAAAGATGATCTTTGCCAGCATTAAGGGAGAAAGGGCAAACTTTATAGCATATCTCAAAAAAGCTACTAATGAGTAATACTTGGCCACTGCCTTAATTATAAAGTGCAAATGTCTTATAACTTTTTTTTTTTAACGTACCATATTTAAAATCTCATACGCCAGAAATAAGATCATGAATGACCGATAAGGATATTTTGTTTAGACAGTCTTACAGATTGGCTGTGGTTAAATGACTAATGGAACTTCTAAACTTTTTATAGAAATATCTGTTCCAGCAAGTGTTATCAAAGCTTTTCCCTAAGGTGTGATTGAACTTTGGAAGCTAGGTTGGATTGGAAACGTTGAGTTTTTCCACAGATAGTGAATGGTATCTTATACCCTATAGATTGATTTTCTATTTAGATTTATATGTCTGATTATTTGAATACTGGGAAGTCTACACTGCCTCAGAACAGAGCAGAGTGCACCTATTTCAATTTGTGAGCCTGTTTAAATGCAAGAGTCGAAGATAAAGGTAGCCATGGCTACTTTGTCTTTTTTGCTTAGATGATGTGCTCATCTAATTGAAATTTTCTGTCTAAGAAATAATAACCATGGCTTGGATCAGGCACACCCTAATCCTCAAAATAATATCCTTGATTTTCAATACTCCATAAAGAGTGTACCTAATGTGTCGTTTCCAATCCAACCTGATGAGAATGTGGCTGCTAGCTGGAGATCCAGAACAGACCTGGAGATCGGAAGCAGAAATCTTTGATGGGGATACCAATCTAAATTCGTTTCCGAGGACATCCTCGACCAATGGCAGCAAAGTGGTCAAACTGCCTGCCTTCACATCTCCTTCCAACTTCCAACATCAGAAATATAGCCAGTGTGACCTGAACAACAAAAATAGTACAAATTATAATTCCCCTTACTGATCCTCAAAACAACCAATAAAATACGGCAACATGTGCAAGTGTGTTTAATTCAAGTTGATGGATTGTAAAAGCCTCAAAATGATTAATAAAAATTTTAAAGTTTTTAATAGTTGTAAAAGGTAATAGTGGTTGGGGTCACCTGATTTGTAACTCAAAATGACAGTGATGAAGTAGCAATGAAAATAACAATGTTTGGGGAGTCACCACAACACGAGGAACTGTATTAAAGGGTCATGGCATTAGGAAGGTTGAGAACCACTGGACTAGAGAATATGTAAGGAAGACAATTATTTAAATATTGTCTGTCCCAAGATCATTGATTTCAAGTCAACTTCAATTCATAGCAATCATATAGGACATATAGTAAAGCTCCAGTGTTCCGGAGACGCCGAATGGACTACGGGAGCAGATAGCCTCATTTTGCCTCCAAGTATTGCCTGAAGGATTTGAAACACCTAGTTAGCAAGGTGCTTAACCCACAATGTTACCGGGGCTCCTTATTTAAGGCATAGTAAAGGGAAATGAAATGACCAGAACTAATGGGATAAGTCTCCACACTGAAAAGGCTGAATATTGGTCACAGACAAGCAACAGGAAACAAGAATGCTGGAGCTCAAGATCCTAAAGACGAGAAGGTGAGAGTTGGGAGAATGAGCAAAGGTCCCATTTAAGGAAAGAATATGAGTAGCCATGGAAATAAAAGGTACCATAAATGCTAGAAAACTGGAGAAATGCTTATAAAATTATTTTCAACCTAAAATTGTATATTCATCAAACAAAAATAATTTTACTGGGGGCTTGTACAGCTCTTACCACAATCCATGCCATATATTCATTGTGTCAAGCTCATTTGTACATGTTGCCATCATTTTCAAAGCATTTTCTTTCTGCTTGAGCCCATGATATAAGCTCATTTTCCCCCTCCCTCCCACATGAACCCTTGATAATTTATAATTTTTTTTCTTGTCTCTCACCGACAGTTGTATACGTTTCATCAGTGCTATGCTGCAGCCTGACTGGCTGGTTTCTTCTTTGTGACCCTTCTGTAAGGGGATGTCCATTTGTCTTATTCATCCAAACTTAAAGTATGAAAGTTGATCAAATATTTTCAGACATTCAAAGATACCCCCCACACACACACTTTAAAGACAAAACTACTTTATTAAGAGATCTCAAGGTTGTGCTGCTTTTGACAAGATCAAGGCACAGCCCAGGGAAAGAGGACGGCGTCAGTCTTGTGGACAAGAAATTCTAGGCAGGCCAGCAGCAGAGGGATGTACAGGATGTCACCTGTGTGCCCAAGTCCATGTATGTGGGAAGTCTCCAAAGAAGACGGAACTGCTTTTGCCTTCAGGAACACTGCGAGTTTTCTGCTGGTTCTATGAAGTCTTTCGGGAAAACAGTTCTATGGGAATGAAAAACTTAGATAATGAACCCGTTTTGTAGGAGACTCACAGCCATTGAGAAGATAGTCTTGTACTTGATTCAGAAGGGCGTGCTGTTACACAGTCGAGAGGCGGTCCTGGAAGGACAAGGAGCAGGAAAGGGGAGGGGTGTAAGAGTGGAGTCCTCAGCTTTCACTCCACAAGGAGTGGGAAATGCCCCAACTGAGAAAGTCCGAAATAACAGTAGGAGCATAATGCTTAGAAATAGAGGTAGATAATACAAGAAAAGCTGGAACAA